AATCGTATTGTCCAATTCATGAGCATTTAACATGATTTCTTGATTGTTTTGTATTGATATGGACTATATGAAGCTAATGATATCATTTAATTGAATTATAATGCACTGAATCGAAGAATGCCATGAACGATTTTCTAGGGTTTCCAAGCTTTGAATTGGGGCTTTGCAATCCAGGAACAATTAGGGCTAGTGATACATATGGTTGGAATCGTTGAACCAAGACGAACTCAATTGAACCCTCGCGAAATATTTATGTAAACCACAGTCCTATTCGCTATTTTTCGCCACAATGGTTTGTGGGGGTTAAAAACCCCTGCTATCTAATGTTCTATATACAGGTACAACGAAGAAGACAAGGACGTGTTGACACTCCATTGGTTTATTCAAAAACACGCGCGTTATTTTTCTTTTTCAGCATATTGACCAATTTCTTAATATAATAATTGTCACTTGTTTCAATAACAATAAAAGCAGCGTGGTTGAGTGGTGAGTGCATTGGTCTGGAAGCATTGGGACCTGGGTTCGAGTCCCAGGTCCACCCAAAATGCTTATGCTATTTTTCTTAACATATTCTTGTGCAGCTTTCCAAAAGGGTACTCACCATGCATCTCAAACATCAACGCGCCATGTGGCTTCAGGCACAGATCCAAGGGTCATGGGTGAATGATCACCATACTCCCAGTCAACACGCGCCATGGAGGATCAGGAAAGTCAAAAGCAGGCTTGAGTACAATTGGGCTTCAGAATTCCACATACACCTCCTAATTGGGCCATCACCCCCCTGGGTTATTCTTTTTTCTCTTTTTATATTTTTCTATTTAACTATTTACTGTTAATTATTATTATTATTATTTAATTAACCAAATTAACTTTTTTTTTCATAATAAAATTCAGAAAACTAAAAATGTAATATTTTTATTATTATTATTATTTGTTAATTTCACCCTTTATTATTTTTGTAAATAAATACTAACAAATTAATTTAGTCTTTTTAATTAGGGTTAATTTTAACTTTTTTTTCAATAAATAAAATAAATTAGAATTAGGGTTTTCACTAACTTTTGACTATTTTTTATTTACTTCCTTGAGACATTAAAGAATAAAAAATATTTCTTTTTATTAATTAATTAGGTTTAATTTAATTTAATTCAGTTTCTTTCTTTCTCAAAAAGGGTCAAAACCCTAAGGACTTCTCCAATTCAATTTTTCTCGCGCGTATGCTTGTTTTATTAATTTTGGTCATTATTATGTAATTGCTCCGAGGATGTAATAGCTTTAATTAGGACCCTTTTTATCGCTTTCTTTAATTTCCCGCAATTTACTTTTCAAGGGTTTGCTTTTGGCGATGTAAATACCCGACGTCTTGTAATAGTTTAGATTTATTTTCCGCACTATTAACTGTTAGATGTATGTTAATTAGGCTATGTATGACAAGACTTATCTCTGAAAATAAAATTAACCTGTAGCTCACTATAACATGTGCAAAGATAACTTAACTGAATCCTGACACACTCGCACATGCCACTCCTAGGGTACGCCTCACTTGGTTGCCTCGACGTGGTCATTGAGTATAGGGTGTTTTAGAGGTCTCTGTCCTGTCTAAAGATCCAAGTTGCCTCGAAACGGTTGCCTCGGATAAAACGATCTAAGACATTAGGGTTACCGCTAAGGCGTCCTACTATTGCTTTGGTGACCACATGTCCCTATAATCGAATTGACCTGAAAAACTCCAACGACGGTGCTACCTACTTCTCAATAGTGGGATAGTACTGTCTAAAGGACATTTACACAGCTTAATTTCTTTTGAGTAGGTAGAGGTTCTTGGATACTTGCTCTTTCAAAACAAAAACAACTTTTCGCACTTACACTTTTCTGACAAAAGTTTTCAAACAACACTTCATACACTCTTGAGGACAGATACAAGAGTTAAATCGAAGTTTTCAAACAAAACTTTTTCAAAACCCACAAACACAAGAAAAGCAAAACATTTTTGAAAACATAGTGAGCAAGTACCTAAGAGCCCGTGGATAACCACAGATAGAAAGGGTGCTAATACCTTCCCTTTCTATAATCTACCTCCCGAACCCGAGAAACATCTCGAAAAGGAATTTTGCTGTGCTTTTGTCCTTTCCTTGTTGGAGAAAATAAAAGACGGTGGCGACTCTTGCTTACCGCGACATTTCGCGAACCAGCATTCTAAAACAGTCAGTTCTATTTCCACCGATCACAGTGATGTATAAAAAATGCAAAGTCAATAAGACTTACCTTGGGACTGCACTTAATGTTTTAAGGCTGAATACTTTTCAAGAAGTTATGAGGGTCTTAATGAACCTCCGGGAAGTTGTTTCAAGCTGTTTGAACTTTCATTTGTATTGAAAGTTGCTGAAATAACTCCAACCAGGTCAAGTTGCACAGTGTTGTCTTTTGTTTAGAAGGTGAAAATAAAGGCACTACAAAGATTGTTCTTGTGCTTGAACAATCTCTATGTGGTATGAAGTGCTTGGATGGCTGGTTTATGGGAGAGTTTGTAAAGTAAATAATGGTTTGAGGGTTTTTTCTGTTTTGTGAATGAAGATAGAACTAAAAATGAGAAGAAGTTACAAGAAAAGTTCTGTTAGATTTTTGTTCAAAACTCTTTATTCTCTTTCTAAAATCCACCCTTGTATGTTGTGAGAACAGTTTGTTTTTATAGATGAAGTTTGGTTGAGGTTTGGGGGAAAATAAATAAGCTTTTGAACAATTTGGGTATGCTCTAACATTGCCTTTTTGGGGTGCAACCCTTTACATGCTAACTTGGTGCAGCCATGGGACTGATATGATGCAGATTTTCAGGGCAGCATTGCAAGTTTTTGAGCAGACTTTGACAGCATAGTAGGGTTGTTTTTGTGGATTTGAGTCAATGAGAAAAGTTCAAACAAAACACGACTTTAGGATTTGTAACTTAACAATTCTAACTTAAAAAAAATGCAGTCTTGTAATAACTTGTATATCTTGAGTTATTTTGAATTGTAGTGGAGAAAGATGTCATGAGGTAATTAATCATGTATAGAAAATACGAAGAGAAATTTTCCAAGTCTTGCCAAGTTTGACTTTTTTTTACCTTCTTGATTTTTGATGATCAAATTTCATATTTTGAATGCCTTGATGAAATGTGATTTTCGAAACTCAAATTTGACCAAAAAGTCAAAGTTTGACTTTTCAATATACAATTGACTTTTTCCACCAGTTGATTGAATTTTGTCTATCAATTCACTGATCTCAAGGGATGAATTGAAATATGCGATTAGGTCAAAATGACGCGCTCGGATCCTTGAGATCATGCTTCCAACCAATAAGTCAAGTATTAAGTCAAAAATCAAAGTTCGGTCATTTTCAGCCAAAACCCTAATTTTGTCCATTTTGCCCTTTTGACAATTTGAAAGACTTTCTTGAAAAATTATGATCCAAGACTTGAAACTTGACAGAAGTAATCCTGGGGGTCCATAACGATCCATGAAAGTCATCTGAACATTAGAAATCTGACTGTCTTTGTACAAACTCAAACCCTAATTTGAGGTATCAGTGTTGAGGAAATTGTTTGACCTAATCGATACTTGTGCAAACTTGAGGTATTGAAGATCTTTGTAGGAAATATTTTGAGAAATGAGAGGGAAATTTTTGAGGTACAACACATATTAATCTAAAATTTGTATAAATATGGGTGCCACCATACTTGTTAGAACATCACACACATAATTGTCTCAATATTCATATCTCGCTTTTGTCTATTTCAACTGCGAGAAACCCTCTCCTGTCGATCTAAAATTAATACTAGAGAGCTTGTACTCAAACAATCAAAGACTTGTGAAGCTCTATTATCATTCACCTTCAATTGACAACGAATGGAAATACAGTTCAACAAGTTTGAGCTGAAGACAAATGAAGATTTAACTGTTATGTGGAATACATTTCAGCGTTACAAAACTAAAGGTGTGGTCGAGGTGAGGCTGAAGATTATGAGATCAATCGAAAATATTCTAAAGATGTTGAAATGTCGTACTTGATGATAAAATGTGTTGTTAGATTTACGTTAACGATTATCTATACATTTTTAATGTATATCATAACAATGATTGATGTTAATTTATGTTTGGTTTCTACATTTTTTTCTGTTTTTGTTTCTTGTTTGTAAAGCACGACAATTTCTAGAAATACAATTTCAGTGAAAATGTATTTTTTGTATTTAAAGATATTTTAAATTTTTCACAGGATATTTTGAATTTTCACGAGAGCATAACTTAAGATGAAAAAAAGTAATTTCCTTAATACATGGTGAGCTCTTTGCACCCAAAAGAATTGAGTAATTTATATAAATTGTATTTTTACTAACGCGTGTAATTTTTACTGCATGTCACTAACTTTAATTGGTGTTGTCCACTATTCTTTAAAAGACAATCTGAAAAAAAAACTTAATTTCTTTAGGGTGAAAATAAAATTATTAAGTTTGAAAAACTAATTGTGTTATCAATGGTTACTATTATTGAAGTGGGTGGAAGAGGGAATTTGGTGCTCTTTCTATGATTCACTTCCATTTGGCTTGGAGAAGAAATAGTATGAAAGTGAAACTCTTGATATATAATTTGGGGAATGAATCATATGAGACCAAATTGAAATAAAAATAAGACTAAAGTGAAATTTAAAAATAGGTTAAGCGACTAAAACCTCTTACTTAGCCTAAACAATATTTTTAATTCAACACAAAAAGTATCCCATTACACAGTATAAAATTAAGTATTCCATCTTTGAATTATTTACTAAAAACCAATTAAATCCTCAGAGGAATGACTTAATTCAGCAGCAAAAGTATATACTTATTAAGACCAATATTGAGATATTTACAAATTTTAAGAGCCATGCTTGTGTTACTTTGGAGCTCAAAATCCAACATATTCACCAACCACCATCATGAAAGGAACCACTTAGCTATTCCTCAGCAATATCAGATGGCAACTTATATGTGTCTATTCCTCAGCAATATCAGAAGGCAGCTTATATGTGCGGATGACACGAATCTGAAGCGAAAACAAAGAGCCAAAAGTGGTAGTCAGAAAACTATCAAGTTATGTGTCGTAGCTATAATAGGCAAAATTATCATGTTATTAGACATATTAAACAGATAGATTTGCCAATATCATCTTCTGCCCCAAACATCAATAAGTATGTTATGTTTGAGAGGCAAATCTGAAGAGATATGGAGAGGGGGGATATATTAAAACAGAGAGAGAGCAAAGCAAATCAAGTCGGGCAGACAAGTTAGAATAGAGCATATAAATATTGCCTGAGCTAAAGCATAAATTGTTCGCAAGATTCTAGCATAATCTGTTCCCAGCATTTGAATAACCAGATCAGCCAGAAATGTTCCCCAAAGCCTGTTCCAAATGCCAAAAGAACAATCAGAAATACCCATTTAAAATACCTCAAACAGTAATAAAACATGAGAGCAAGGAGGTAATAGATATGCAGCTGATAAATCTTAATGGTACATTGTACTGAAAAAAGATACAATGAATGGAGTTCCCTGACAACTCAACTGAAAGGTGTCTGTCTATCCATGGCATTTTCAGTCATATACTCTTCCACCTGTCGTAACTTTCTCTCTCACACTACCATTTATTCTCTCTCATGCAAAGAATTCATTTTTATCATAAATCTCTCTCCCGAATAAACTTAAGTCACAAAAGTCACCAAATGTGGAAGGTAGAAAATCCATTTCTGTCTGACAACAGCTAAGACAAACTGAAATTTAAAATAAAAAAGGTTCCATTGGGCACGGAGAGAAATAAAAGCAAGGGACCGTGTGGTATACATAATAAAAGTTTTACCAGATGCACAACACATACCACATTAGATCTACAAATTTATAAATTAACAGTCAAGAATAAATATGGGCACCAGGGTACAAAGGTCTCTCTCACTTCCTCCTCCCACCCTGCCAGCCAATCCAGGGTGGCCCCTTTCCACAATCACACATACTGCCGCCACATGAATCTTGGCCACCCCTCCCCTTTCCCAAGACTGCTTCCATAGTCGTTGAAGAGATGGCAGGTTATAAATTTTTAATTCATATGGTATATAAACCCCGAAAGGGGTAGCCTTGGTTCAACGGTAAGGTTGTTCCATTGCGACCCTGGGTCATGGGTTCGAACCCTGCTGGAAACTCTCTTTTATAAAAACAGGGGTAAGACTGCGTACATCCGACCCCCCCAGAGCCCATAAAATGGGAGCCTCATGCACTAGATTACCCCTTTAATTGTATATAAACCCTAAAGGCTCTAGGGTTCTAAGTCTGTTCTCACACCACAATCATGGCATTTGTTGACTTTCAGTGCCTGGACGAGGGTTTTAATGGCAAAGCCTAGAAGTGTAAATATGCCCAAGCATACACACATCATTAATGGACTTGTCATTAATAGTGTGTCTATCATATGCATTACTCATGGAACAGAGTGAGATAGAGAAGTTGTCCTAAGTAAAGAACTGAAGTTCCAGGTAGTTTTCTTGGGGGATGGGGCAAGGGAATTTGGTTTGCTTCATGCACAATATGGTAAAAGGACTTATGATGTAGGGAAAACCTTGAACAAATCTCAAATATAAAGCCTATCACAACTAATCATTAAGTACGAGGACAGATCTATTCATATAATCAACAAACAAATCTAATAAGTTTTTCTAAATAAAATATGAACAAGCACTGAAGGCTGAAGCTGAGGTTGTTATTAATATGATACTCCGTAATATGTAAATGACTAAATGTGTCTGGTGATTTTTATCAGTGAAACAACAAAAACTATAAAGTTAAACCATAAGAGAAAATGTAGAAGTCGATGATTTTTCCTTAGACATGAATTATTATAAGACAAATCATGGTATCTATGCAGCTAATTCAAACTAATGAGAAAATACTTTCATAGTTGAACAAATAATTAATTTACGATTTATTTGTAACTTATTCAATTAAAGGAAAGTTAAGTGTACACGGATACAAAACTGCTACAGGTTGAAGTCATTAAAACAAGGTGTAGGACATACACAGGTCCAAGTAATGAGAGCATGCTTCTAAAACCAAGATATCTTGATGCAGCACCAAGAAAGCCCTATAGAACAGATCAAACTTCAGATGATAAAAAAGGTATAGGATCAACGCAAACTAAAACACTAACTTATTTTTGAAAAAAAATAAAACAAAATACGCTAGTAAGAGACAAAGAAAATAACTATTTTTGTAAATATCAACATAACATTAATTATTTTTGAAAAAATAATTAATGTTATGTTGATATTTACATTTTTTCTTTTATATTGAACTTAATTATATAATAATATTATGTCCAAGAGGTGTCTGCTCAGTGCTAAGAGCTTGACTTTGTACCCTTAGGCTATGTTTGGGAGTTTGGAGGGGGAGGGGAAGGGAGGGCTTCCAAAAATCTTTTTTTTTTTTAAATATAAAGAAAATTTTAACATTTTTTGAAAAGAAGATTTTGTTTAGAATGATAAAATAATGTTTTTCATTAATGTATTTTTAGTTTTTGAAATACTATAACAACAAAAATCATATTTGAACAAATTGATTAAGCCCTCCAAAACCCTCCTCCAATACAAATTTTGAGTTCCTCCAAATTAGGGGATTTTTGGTGTTATGAAGAAAAACAAACCCTCCAAAACCCTCCCATGCAAAATCTTTCTATTTTTTTCACCCAATCCTTCCTATTTTTTAAAGTCCTTCCCTCCCTTCCCCTCCAAACTCCCAAACATAGCCTTAAGGGACAGAGAATAAATCTCACCCGGAACACCCGTAAAATGAGCATTAGTGCCACCGTGATTAGTATAAATTTCCCCTTCCCCAATTTTAAAAAAGCAGTAATAGTATTATGATTAAGCAGATTCAAAAATATCAAAATAAATTGGCTGAACCATGTATTTACCTATAGAATAATTTTAATGCTAAGAATGAATTCGTACTCCTACATCTTACTACAAGGTTGTTTGATGAGAAAGAGTTTAAATTTAAAGACATTTCCTGTTTGGCTATTTAACCAGTGCTTAAGAAGTTGAAGTTCCAAAATATTGCTTACAACATAATATGTTTTGTGTTCAAATAGTCTTATTTTATCCATCAATCTGGAAATATATTTAGCGTATTCATGCCTATAAAAAACATATTTTTATGAAGTAATTGACAAGAAAAGAAGTACATGAAATTATCATGTAAGGCACCTGTTTTGCTGCAAGCAAAGCGGTTCTGGATTCTAAATTGATCAAAGCTAATTGTCCACCCTAGAAATCATTTAGAGCAAAATACATGTATAAGTTATTTTTGAAAAAAGATTGTTCACGTTACCAAAACAACTAGTCGTACCAATGCATACCTTCTTCAATAACTCTTTCTTAACCTGGTAATTAGCAGCTTCTCCAATCATTTTTCCAGATAACTTCCTCGCCAACTACAAGTCATGTTCTAGTCATGAAACCCAAAACGCTTTCTTTTGAAATAAATAAAAAACAGAAATATATTGTTTTACCAATTGATAGATCTTTGCCAATGTAAGTATACTACCTCCCTGTGGATGAAAAGAAAAAATGACGTAAAGTTTAGAATAGAAAAGATAGTGTTGCGTAAAGTGAATAATTAAAAAGAACCTTGAAAAGAAGAGATTGAAAGTCTTGTGTTCCAACTTTTGAGTGCATTTTCCATTGATTGAGTCCAAGCTGTAGAGTTCCCGGAGCATCCAATAAGGCTGTATGGTTTTCTGATTCTTCACTAGAAGAATATTGAAGCGAAAACTAGTTAGAGAAGTATAGAAAATTGATTTTGAAATAAAATTAAAAAAAAAAAAGAAAGTTGATTACTTAGAGTTGTAGTGTAAAAGGTGGAGGAAAATTTCTAGTTCAATGTCGTGAGTAGAGAGTTTGGTTGAGCAAGGAATATTGAATTTATTCCTTAGTTGAAGCAAGACATTTCTGTAAGTTGGTCTGGAACCCCTTAGCGTTGAGCGTGCATCGGCAGCTAAGTAGAAAAATCGGGACTCGAGAGTGGATATAAAGTGTTGGCGGAGTTGAATGTCTTGTTCGTGGAGGGTAGTTGTTGTTGTTGGAGTTGTTGATGTGATGGATTTGAGCAAAGGACTCAAGTAACTGAAGATAAGTAACAGTTATTAAAATTATGAGAAAAAGATGAACAAGAGAAAACAGTGAGTCACCGACCTTGGGCCGAAAAGGATAGTTTGAATTTCACATAACTCAGAGTGAGTAGCAAGTTCAAGCGCGGAGCGCAGGTCGGGATCGAAATCCGTTTTTTGAGAAAACAACTTCACACTGTGACGGTGATTGCGGTTCCGCCAAACGAGTTCCTGCAAAAGGGAATTCAATATTGGGAAATGGAGAAGAGAGTTAATTTCAATTCCAAGGTTACCGCTCTAGGGTGGAGATTCCATTTCCAACAAGACCAAAAGCATGATGGCACCAACACCACTCCACTTGCATTTCCACACCACATCATCTTCAACTTTTAGGGCTCAACTTTCATCTTTACAATTTCAACACTCACGATAAAACCTATAGTGCTATTACCAGGCTTTTTCACCTTTTTTTTTTTTGGTTCTTTCAAATTTGAATCGGTATCCTTGCATGTCCACCCGAACCCGTCTAAAAGTGATTGAAAATATCTTTTTTTGACTGGTTTTGGATTCACCGATGAGTTTTTCTCGATTATAAAATATGAAATACGGAAGATATTAGTATCCATCTCAAATCTATTTTCCAATAACTCAACATATTATTATTTATTTTTGATAATTTATAATATTAAATATGTGTTTAATGTTTTGATAATTTGATTTATATTTATTATTTAAAATATTTGAAATGTATGTGTGAATGTTTTTAGATTATTTTATTTTGTTATTAATAATATAATATAATTTCTTTTTAAAATAAATATTTTTATTAATAAAAATTGATTTATTAAATAAATATTTTTGTTAATAAAATTGATTTTATTAAATAAATAGTGATCAGATGAGAATATCCAAATTCTTTAAGTTTTAATTCTCTATTAAATAAAAATTGTTTGATTTAAATTTGAAAAGATAAAAACCGTCTTCATTTTTCTCATTGCCATACCTACTTTTAATTTTCACAATTTTAATTCTTTTGTTGTTCATGCCCATGATAAATCTCACGCAAAATAATTTTAATTTTTTAAAAATTTTATATTTTAAATCACAATTATTCAGTCTTAATCCAACAATAAAGATATATTTAAATATGGAAAAAGTATCATTAATATTATCATTTAATTATGCAATATAATTTAGTTTACTTAAAGTGATTTGAGGTCAATTATTTTTGTTTTCAAAAAAGTGATTCTTATACTTATCCATTAATATTATCTATATAATTTGTATCAAAATTGATTTTAGAGGTAAAATTACTAAAATGAATTTACTCTTAGAAGTTATGTCTATTTTATATTTACATTTAAATTTAATTCAACTCGAATTGATATTGTCTTTCAAAATGAATGTTTTTGTTTTACAATTATCAAAAATACCAAAATAATAAATAAAATTATTATATATATACACACGAAAGGTTTAAGTTGTTGTAGTCAAATTTATCTCAAATTCACTCTATTTGATCTAAAATATAAAAATCAATACACACGAAAAGTAAAGTACATTCACTGATCTCTATTTTTCAACATAGTCATCTTGAATTGACTTAAATATTAGAATGTTAACCTTGCAGGTGTATCCTACATCGGGGATCAACATCATCGGTTCAAGATCCTCAATTCACCAACAACATCTAACTTCGGCTCAAGGACGAAACAGTGGAGTCTTCTATGGAAATCGACTTTTGATTCTCGTATCTTCCACAATTTCACGTTCGTTTTCTACTTTACAAGTCCTTAACCTATGTAGGTCATCGAATCAAGAGCGGTCAAAATCAAATGTGAAGATTCGTCATGTTCGATCCAATTGATCGTCGGTGACTTTTCGAATCTTTAATTCTCGCACTAACTCTAAGAGGTCAAAGAAAGAATGTGTTAAACGATATGCTACGATCTAGAGGAGGGAGAATATATCGAAAATGAAATTTTGTTATTTAAACATCGATTTTAAAAATAGTTTAACTATGGCATGCAAAAACAATCTCGGATCCACAGTCGTCTATCCCGAGTCGTTATCGAAAAGATCGGATATTCATTAAACCTTATAGAACGTATTGATTAATGAGAAAATTAATCAATGTATTTTCAGCAACGTATGGATAAAACCATACAATAGTTGATTTCCAATGAAATATTAAACCAAAAAGTGACTTAACCAATTTGTCGAATACTTGGTGTGCAATCAATTTGATTCAGGTTTTTCTTTGATTTTGTTTATATGAAAAACCAATTGCAATCTTATGGATTACAATCAACTCAACAAAATGGTTTGAAATATTAAACAAAGAAATTATCTCAATATATTGATTGCACAATCAATTATTTTGCAATTAACGTGAGAGAGAGAGAGGGAGAGACACAAAGATTTATTTACGCAGTTCCTCAATCGGCCGCATTATGAGTTTGTCTACTCTCAATTCCAATGGAATTGGGATAATGAAAATTAACATTTGCAGATTGTTGTTTACAAGAAAAAAGGTAGAAATCCAACTCTCTGAATCCTGAGTGTGATGTTGATCCTAACTTCTTCTCTCCCCTTGATCTTGAGCTCGATCAAGTAATCTAATATGTCAAATTCAATCCTCCAATTACCGCTACTTCTCTGACAGAACCTTTGTTTTTCAATGCTTTCACTCGGCTGAATCCAAATTGCAAACGTATTGTGACCCAATATTACCAAAATGATCTCCTGGTTACCATTACTCCTTCGAGAGAAACGTATTTCTTTGAAACTTTCACTCGCCTGAATCTAATTTGCACAATCTTGTGAAAAACTCTCAAATCAATCTTGATCTTGAAAGAAAACTGCAAATGGATTTATCTTGAAACCCCCAAAGATTTCTCAATCCAATTTGATTACAACAATCGTAAATCTGACGTTATCAATCTTGTTTCTAGATGACACCCAACAAAAATGATTATATGTAATTGTTGTGTGTATGCATAGAAGAAGATTGAAGTTTGATGAGCAATGCTTTGTATTTTCTTGGTTTCAATCAATCTTAAAATGATGCATGATTGGTATTTATATGTGCAAGTTGCAAAATAACAAAAAAAAGAAGTTAGAATAGTTTACAAATTTTTGAAAAAATTTGCAGGACGTGTCGACCTGTGTAAGTCATGTGTCGACTCATAGAAGAAAACTTTCTTCTATGTGTCGACCTGGAAACATCTATGCATCAACTTGAAATGGACAGAAACATGGTTCTGAAAATGTACAGCATGTGTCGACCTATTGCTCGGATGTGTCGACCTATATAAGTATTTTTACTTCGATGTGTGGACTTATAACATGTATGTGTCAACACATGTTGAGCAGATATACTTTTTCTTCAAAAATATTTATGTATGTGTCGACATATACGATCTGTGTGTCGACCTGGAACTAACAGAAACTTCCTTTTTTTTGAAAAGTTAATGCTATGTGTCGACCCATACGATAAATGCGTCGACCTATGGACTTGATTTTCATAGAAAAACACATTTTTTAACATGTAAAACCTTTTCAAAACTTGTTTTAAGTTTTCTAACACTAGGATGCATATCTAGACGCGGATGATACCTTCCAATACACATAAATACTAAAATTCCTAGTTTTGACATCATTTAAAACATATCTAATGGGAAAGTGCACTCACATACTCCCTTTTCTTATGAAGGCAAAACTTGCGACGACGTATTTGGTGTCTTCATAAAGCTCCTACTGAATATGTGCATCTCAACTTCGTCTTGCATATGTTTCTCCCACTTTGACAACATCAAAAAGAGACAAAGTAAACCATGAGATGTATCTTGTATCATTTAAACTAAATACATATACTAATATATCACACAAAGGCATTACAAAGATAAATTGATCAACGATAATATGCACTCACATAGAATTACGTTAAAGTAAAAAAAATTAAACATAAATAAGCAACAATGCATTCAAAATCAAAAGTAGTTCATTACAAATACACTACAACATTGTTGAATGAAAAATGCAAGACAAATAAATAACATGACCAAGCATAATAGCATCATAATTAATTCAAATGTGAAAAATTTATATCATCAAATACATATGATAATGAAATGCAAATGATTAAAATATGACGTCACTATAAACATATAGATCGAAAACACTTATAGATTAACAAATATTTTTTTTGGAAATGAACAGTCATGAGATTATATTATTCATCAAATATATCACATTTTTTAACATAAACATGCAATCAAATTACTAGTGACATAGATAAGCAACACAAGAGAATAAAAACTTACAAACAAAGAAATAAGTGAAACAATATTACCTCATAGGATGAGAAATGGTGGATGCACTCACATGAAATAGAACTTTTGAATGAAGGTTAAAACAATTATAGAGAGAGTACATGCAAAAAATATTTAGGTAAACTTTGAGATATCTAGAATGCCCAATTCACAATGAATATTGAAAAATGGCTCAGTCGCAAGAGATTTTGTGAAAATATCGGCAAGTTAATTTTTACTATCAATGTGATCAAAAATGACATCCTTTTTTTTCAACACGATCGCTTAGGAATGGTGATGTATCTCAATATGTTTAGTACGATAGTGTAGCACGTGATTTTTAGTCAGGTTAATAACACTAGTATTATCACACATTATCATAATACTTTGAAGTTTAATGTTAAAATCAAGTCATTGTTGTTTAAGCCATAAAATATGAGCACAACAACTATCCGTTGCAACGTATTTTGCTTGAGCAGCTGACAAGGCAACATAGACTTGCTTCTTGCTATGCCAACTTACTAAGAAATTTGAAAATAAGTGGCAAGTTTCACTAGTGCTTTTCTTATCTGATTTCCTACCAGAAAAATTAGAGTCGGAGTAACCAACTAAACTGCAATGGCACCCTTTGGGAAGAAAAAAACCCATACTTAGAAGTACCATAAATATATCTAAGGATGTGTTTTATAACTTTTAAATATGATCTTTTAGGAGCCGATTGATATCGAGCGTACATGCACATACTAAACAGAATATTCAGCCTATGCAGTAATATATAAGAGAGATCCAATCATACATCTATATCTTTTAACGTCAACATCCTTACCATTTTCATCTTTATCCAAGTTCCCATTTTTGGAATTGGTGTGTCTATTAACTTTGCATCTAGCATCCTAAAGTGTTTAAGCAATTCACAAAAGTATTTTGTTTGACACATAAATGTCCCTTCTTTGAGTTGCTCGATTTGATGTCTGAGAAAGTAATTCAACTCTCCCATTAAACTCATTTCAAATTCTCCATGAATTAGCTTAGAATTTTTTTGACCAATTGCATGTTAGCATAACCAA